GTCAGGTGGCCCCGCACAGCCACAGTCGGGAGTCCTCCTTTGGCAGCCTGGGAACAGTGGCAGTGTGGACTGTGTTATGTTTCGCTGGAGGCCCATTCCATGCCTGCCCCCGTGAGCCCTGAGCCTTGCGTGGGAACCCCAGTGCCACAGCCACTTGTAACGAAAGCTGTGCCATCAGTAGCTTACAGTGACTTCCTGTGGCACTCAGGAGTGGAGAGAGAGCAGGAAGGACCCGAGTTGGCTCAGAGCTTCTTGCCAGGCGGAAGGCAGGTGAGTGGCTGACATGGAGCATTAGCGATTCAATATTCCTGCTCTTTAAGAGAAAGGCTTTTCCCATGCAGACCAGGCGCGATTTATTTTAAACGCCTGTAGGGTATATTTTCCTACTGGGGTGGTTCCTGTTTGCTTTTATAGACAGTGGAGTGCATCATGTCTTGAAATTCAGAGTGCAGAGAAAGGAAAGGCAGATTGAAGACATTTTGCACAGAGCCTTGCGAATGCCCCTAGGGGAAGTGGGAGTGCAGGCTGTGATGCTGTGCCGCTGGCACACAGGTCTTCCAGATCCCATTACTGCCTGGTACTTTGGAAATTGCATTTCAATTTTGAACTCAGCTTGTAAGTCCCCCCGAGAAAACAGGTTACGGATGAAAACGGTGATCTCTTGGCTTATTGAGGAGCAGCAAGAAGGTGCAAGGAAGAGTAAACCGCGGTCAGGTACCAAGGTAACCGTGCTCGAGAGCTCTTGCTTACCTGTGCGTCTCAGCACGGGAGACTGGGAGCGCATCCACTTCTTTCCTTTCAGATTAAAATACCTCTGGGCTTGCCTGGCTTGGTTACAAAGCTGTGTTTAAAATCTCAGGTCAACAGAGATGATTTTGCACACGTCATAGGACGTGGGTGGTGAAGTTCATGGTGAGCCATATCCTCGGGCGTTTGAGTCGTGAAGGTGTAACGGTATCTCTGTCACTCCCGGTCTGGTGCCACTCCGGCAAGCCTCCCAAGTGCCATGTGCACCTCCTATGACACTGACACCTGCCTTGTAATGCCACCTCCGTGTGCAGATTCCACTTGCTTGTGTGCGAGAGGGGAGATGTTCTGTCTTAGTCACTGCTGTTTGTACCACATACTCGGTGGGGGGATGATGCACCTGCCATGTTTGTTGAGGGACCGGATGGATGGATGGATGGATTTTCTGAAGCAGAACTGTTCTCTGTGATGCCACAGCCAGCCTGGTCTATGTCCACATGAACAGTTACTGCCTGTGTTCGGGGCTACCACTTTAATACGCCCACAGAAAGCCCAGTTCTGTACTCCCTGTGTAGCTGTGAGATGGGAGTTAGTATCTGTACTGGTCAGCTTTTCGGTTCTGCAGCAACATTCCTAAGAGAAGCTACTTAGGAAGGAAAGGGCTTAAATATTTGGGTTTAGGCACCGAAGGCTCCCAGTCGAGGGCTGGGATAGCCCCAGGGGGTCAGCCGTCTGGGGAGGCTGGCAGGTGGCAAGGCATGCGTAGGAGCCGAGCAGGGGGCTCAGCCCAACTCAGGCTTCTATAACCACATCCTCTGGAGAAGAGTACCTTCCCCAGGCAGCTCGCTGGGCGACCCCAGGTGGGCCTGGGGCTGCGAGGGCTACCTGCTGGACACCGTGAGTGGGATTCAGTTTGTGACTTCAAGACTGAACCATCTGTGTGAGTCGGGAGCCCTGTTGGATTCAAACCACAGTGGTATCTCACCTGTTCTGTACTCAGCTGTCTAATTTTGCTCAGAGCATTGATGAGCCTGTGTCCACTGACCGTCTTCCCAGCTGTAATGGTCAGTGCTTCCCTTTCGTCTGCTACGAGCCTCACCTGTTACACCTCTAATAAGCACTTTTAAAATTTCTGCTCTACCGTGTAACAGGAAGTTTGGCCCCGTGAAGACAGACATGGCAGTGTCCAAGAGTGACACTGCTCATGTAGCAAAGGCAGCCCAGGAGTTCCCGGAGCTGACTGCCCAGTGTGGCCGGGTTCTGGCTGCCTTTTCTCTGATTACTTCTAAGATCGTGTTTATTGGCTCTGATCTCACATGGGGATGAAGAAACAATGAAAAGAAAGCGCAGCACTGTGTGCTGAGCCTCGTGGATAGGATGCGGATGAAGAAACCCAGATCCCACATCATACTGCCGGGGTGTGAGGTCTGAGAGCAGCTTCCTGCAGTGTAGACCCCGGAAGGCAGTGGTGATGAGTCGGGTCATTTGCTTGCTGGCACCCATGCGGGAGAACAGGATTGAGCTCCCGGTCCAAGCTTTGGCCCCAGCTCTTGGGGGCCTTTAGGGAATGAACCAGTGGACGGGCTCTCACTCTCTGTCTGATTCTGTCTCTGTCTCTGCCTCTCAAATAAGATTTTTTAAAGGGAAGAAGGAAAAAAAATGCGTGGATTAATTAATCATTTCTTAGATAGTTACTTAGAAAGGAACTAGAAACTGTTGGCTGAAACACCTCCTGCCTGTGGTCATGGTGTCTGTGGCCATGGTAGCAAAGGCTCGGCACACCTTGTACCTAGTCTTCACCATGCTGACCCGTTGCCGGATGTGTGTTAGCTAGCTCGCTGGTTTGCATCGCCTACCTCCCTGTGACGTAGATGGTAATACAGCCGCCAGTGGTACAGCCGATGATACTAGGGACAGCCGACACTGAGACAGACTGCCAAGCGTGTGGGAAGCGAGTTTCACACTCAACCTTAGCCAAAAACCCAAGAAGCAGTAGTGGTTCTCGCGGTTTTACCCCTCACCGGGACCCTAGGAGACTGGTGCGCTGTGATCCCTTTTCTCCACTAGGGGCGCCCAAGAGCAGAAGTGAGGTCACAGAGATAGGAACAGTAGGCCCAGGGTTCTAGTCTGGTGTAGCCAAGGGCAGGAGCCCAGCACCTAACCGTGCTTCCTGACTCCTGCAGCAGCAGCAGGTGACCTGGGCTTAAGGAATGCATTCGTGAGCACACATCCAGGGGCACATTCCAAATATCAGTTTGGTTGGATTTTCATGGGATGTGCTGGTATGCATTTAACACACACATACACACACACAAAGTTGTCAGTCCTTTTGTGGGTAACATCTTAATTAAGCTTTTCTACCATAGTTTAAAAGGGAAAAGTTTGAGATTTTCACTTAACCTTTCTTGTAGAGTTTCACAGTTTGTTGAGTTTGGCAGTTAAAAAGCATATTGTTAGATATTTGTAGCAAAACTAGTACACACCTAATGATTTTGTGAGTATTTAAAATTTTTTAAGATTTATTTATGTGTTTGAAAGTCAGAGTTACACAGGGAGAGGAGAGGCAGAGAGAGAGAGAGAGGTCTTCCATCCACTGGTTCACTCCCCAGTTGGCCGCAACGGCCAGAGCTGCGCCGATCCAAAGCCAGGAGCCAGGAGCTTCTTCTGGTCCATGTGGATGCGTGGGCCCAAGGACTTGGACCATCTTCTGCTTTCCCAGGCCATAGCAGAGAGCTGGATCAGAAATGGAGCAGCGAACCGGCGCCCATATAGGATGCCGGTGCTGCAGGCCAGGGTGTTAACCCACTGCACCACAGCGCCGGCCCCAGTATTTAAAAATTTATGAGTGCATTTGAACATCTTTTCGCTTGATTATTGTTTATAGCCCTTGTCTGTATTCCTGCTGAACTGTGGTCTTTGTATTTGTCGAATTCTTTATTGGGTGGAGCGGTAAGGCTTTGACTATGATGTGAATGAAAAATATATTATCTCAAAAAAAAAAATAGTGTTAGCAATGTCAACTCCCAGGTTTTGCTGTGGATTTGTCGTTCAGATAAGTGACACTTGGAAAATTCAAGTCTCTCTCTGCTTCCTAAGCTTGGATGTGTGAATTCAAACAGGTGGCCTGGAGGGTGTGGATCTGTTGCCTTTTGGAGTTGAATCAGACGTCGGCTGCTTGGCTCATTGCTCAGCGCCTGGTGGAAATCAAACGCATTTTTATTCACAGCCTGGAGGTGTGGACTCTGTGAAACCTGTCGCTCTCCCTCCCCTTGTGCTGTGTTGGGATGCTCAGCCGTAGACCCTTGCGATCCAGTTTTGGAAAATGCCGTATTCTGAGGCTCTCAGCGTGCATCAGTGCTTTGTAGGGCATCCTGCCCGCCAGCCCTCACAGCACTGCGAGTGACGGCGGGGCTGGCTTGGGGGTAATTCTTAGAACGCGAGTCACCTTGATGAGTTACGTAGACTCGTCACCTTGCGAATGGTAAAGCAGACTGTGCCGTGAGGGCGGGAGGGCGGGAGGTGGCAGCGCTTGGTTGCTGTATGAGCGGTCAGGGGAGCAGCTCGTGAGCACAGGTGAAATTTCCTTGCTTGGAGAAGTGCAGCAGATGTGGGCCCAGCCCCTGGGGTGGAGGTGTGCCTTCCAGGGGGACATGGGGTCCTGCTGCAGGGGAACAGCTGGGGACGGAGAGCACTGATGGTGAGCAGGTGGAGGGCAGTGGGCAGATGGCCAGCGAGGACCAGGTAAGGCAGGTGCTCTTCACGGGCTTCCTCACTGCTGCCCTCCTATATCCCTGCAAAGCCTCTCCTGTCACACCCTCCAGTGTAGGCAGAGAGGGCGCTGTGTATGCAAACAAATCCCCAGGCCTCCCTGCCCCTGTAGCCCCCTTCCTGCCTCTGGAACCCTTCCCCTGGGAATGCATGGCCATGCGTATCCAGAGAATTCCTGGATGCACACCTCCTTCTCCGAGGGATGTTTGGGCTTGTTGCAAGTTTCGGTCCAGATCCTTGCAGAAACCCCACCTGAGCGAACCCCACCCATGTGCCCTGGAGGGACTCCACGCAGATGAGCCCTGTGGGTGTTTGGCCACCGTGGCTGCTGCCTGACAGCAGGCCACGCACCGAGTGTGGTGTTGCCCTGCCCGTGGCACGGCAGGTGCTCAGCGAACCCCTCCTGCTTGCCCAGCCCCCGGTAGTCAGCCTCTCGTTGCTTTGGAGAAACCGTCTCATCCGTGTTTCTTTGTTGTCTTTGGAAGGAGAGGTTTCAGGAAGCGGAGGAGATCTACCAGGCTGGAATCAAGAACTGCCCGGACAGCTCCGACTTACACAACAACTACGGGGTGTTCTTAGTGGATTCTGGTACGTGACGTCAGAAGGAGCGTGTCCCGGGGGGATCGGACGGCATGGGTGTCAAGGAGATGGCGGCCATCGGGTCATCCTCCAGAAGCGAGGCTCACCCTGCCGCCCACCACCGTGCACCTGGGGGCTGTTGTTTGTCCCAGTCTGCAGGCGGGGTTCAGTCCCAGCTGCCCGGCTCTTGCGATCAAGACGCTAAGGAAAGCTCCCAGGTGATAGGAGGTAGACCTGATGATGTAACGCGTCCCAGTCCTCTTCGACAATCGTTTGTGCAGGTGTACACACCTCTGATGACCCGGGGTTCCTCTGCAGTGACGCACGGCCTGCCCCTGAATCTAGTCCCCCGCAGGTGCTAAAACTTCCCCTCGCTGTGTTTTCACAAAGCTTCCGGGAGTGCTGCTTCGTTCCTTCCCCCTCCTGCCTCACAGAATCTGCCTTGGCCACTCCTGCAGTGTTCTCACATGACAGGTGCCCTGCAGATTACCCTCACGTCATCGTGTCCGTGCAGGGGCTCAGTTTCTTTAGGGTGTGGACCGTGGCTGTGTCATGAAACTGATAAGTAACTGAACATTATTTCAGTTTAACACAGAAGTGGCTCACTTTCTTGTTGATGACCAGAGTAACTGCTGTGCAGTAACACTCAGTTTCAGTTATTTTTGTTCAATGTGAAATGCACGGGAGGGCTTTTATTTTCTACGGTAGTTGAAGCTCTACTGCTTTGTAGAATAGGAATTTACTTTTGGGTGTAAAATTGTTGTGTAGCGCCACCTGCTGGTCCATTAGCCGTATAGTAAGTTAAATATCCCAGAGAGAGGAAAACCCGAGGAGACTTGGTGCTGGCCTGGTCTGAGCCTCTTCCTTTTGGTTTTGCAATCAGTAGTCTCATCCCATATCCTTAAAAATGGTAACAATTTGATGGCCGGACTCTGACAGCATCTTGGTCAAATTTGTGTTCAAAGAAGTTGCAAGGGAGGGAGAAGACTCCTGGCCGGGTGATAAACATTTCATTCCATGTGGAACTTCACACGGAACTTCCATCACCTCCGTGTGCTCCCGGGCAGGAGCATCCGCGAGGAACTTTATCCGACCAGAGAGACTGTCCCCTAACTCTCAGTGACCCTGGACATCGTCAAGTCTCTTCCTGTTTTTGTGCTTTGTAATGTGTGTCTACGAGGTGATCATTTTGTGTAATAGCTGAATGGTATACCAAAAGACACCTGCAAAGATCATATAACTATTTACAAAGTATTTAAAAATGTAGAATGCATTGTACAAATGCAAGGTGGCGTGATGTTGTTTTAAGAAACAAATGCCATATAAGCAAAAAATGTTAATTTCATTTTTATTTTTAAAGAAATTTTATTTGTTTATTTCAAAAGAGGTAAAGAGGGAGGGAGAGACTGAAAGAAATGTTCCATCTGCTGGTCCACTCTCCACCCTGGGCTGGAGAGCCTTAATCCAGGAGCCAGGAGCTTCATCCAGGTTTCCCAAGTAGATGGCAGGGGCCCAAGTAGTTGGGCCATCTTCTGCTTTTCCCAGGTCATTAGCAGGAAGGTCGATTGGAAGTGGAGCAGCCAGGACAGGAACCGGAGCCCATATGGGATGCCAGTGTCATAGGCTTTACCTGCTCTGCCACAATGCCAACCATGATTTTATTTTTTAAAGAGTTATTTATTTACTTGAAAGATAGAGTTAAAGAGAGATGAGGAGATACAAAGAGAGAGAGAGATCTTTCATCTGCTCATTCACTCCCCAAATGGCTGGAACGGCTGTGGCTGAGCCAAGCTGAAGTCAGGAGCTGGAAGTCCACTCAGGTCTCTCCCATGGGTGTCAGGGGCCTAGGTCCATCAGCTGTCCTCAGCTACTTCCCCATGCACATTAGCAGGGAGGCAGATCGTAGGCAGAGAAGCTGGGACTGGAGCCAGTGCTGATAAGGGATACCAGTGTCGCAGGCCAGAGTCACAACACCAGCCCCCAAAACATGTGACTTTAAGGTGTGCCTCCAACATCCAGCTGATGCAGACTTGCAGAAAGCACTGTCTCACTGACTGTGCTACTCTGCGGTAATTGTCACAGACCCTTGGAACTTGCTTCGGATCCGTTTTCTTTCCGGCTGTGCCTTTGTTTAATGAGGGACAGCTTTGTCTTTGAGAACTAGCAATCACTGGTGATCCCAGGACATCGTATTAACCAGGGCAATCACCAGAAATTACTTGGAGGGAATAGCAAATACAATAAGAGAACTGTGCTTTATTCTTATTCTTATTTAGTTATTATGCTGCATTATTGTTAGGTTCTTTGGAAGCGTAAATGAATAGCAAAATGGTCCAAGGTTAGACAGTGTCGCAGCAAAGAAGTGAAGCCAAAATGCAACCTTATTTATTAACTGAAAATTGAAGGCGTGGCAGCTGTAATGGGATGAACGATAGAAGTCAGGGAGAATTCAAGAGGTCAGGGATTTTCCAAGGCTTGCTGTGTTCTCACCAACCCGCCTATGGTCTCAGGTTCTCCAGAGAAGGCCGTGGCCCATTACCGGGAGGCGATCAAACTGAGCCCGAGTCATCACGTGGCCATGGTGAACCTGGGCCGGCTGTACAGGTCACTCGGAGAGAACGGCGCGGCGGAAGACTGGTACAAACGGTACAGCTCCTCCCTTCACTCCCTCAGCTGCTCGGCAGGTATTGTGGGCATTCGTGCTTTTGCAGGATGCTAGTGAAGTTCACCAGATGAGGGGGTTCAGGTTCTGCTCCCCAGGGAGCGCCCCACGATGGTGCAGGTTGTTTTGTCAATTAGGGACATCTTCCCCCCTTCCTGACTGGTTGGAGCAGGCTGCTAAGCCAAGGTTGGAGTTTAGTGGCCACTTAAGTTGTCCCCTTGTCTGGGGACACTGCGGACAGCAACCCACACCACAGGTAGTAATTTCAAATCCAGGATGGATGAAAGTCTCAGGATAAGGCTGTTTGTCACTGTGAATAGAAACAGTTGAGGCTCAGCCACCTTATCCCTGGGACATTGGACATGGTCCCGTGTGGCGGGGTTGCACCTGATCTGTGGTTAAAACTTTGTTCTTGATATAAAAACAAGCGCTATGCTACAGTGGGGACTCAAACCATGGGCTATCCTGTCACATCGAAGCATAGACCCATGGAAATGCACCTGTTGGAAGAGAAGTGTCAACTCACCTTTCTCCCCACGCAGCGCCCTGCAGGTGGCACGCCGAGCCGAGATACTGTCCCCTTTGGGCGCGCTCTATTACAACACCGGCCGATATGAGGAGGCGTTGCAGGTGTACCGGGAAGCTGCAGCCCTTCAGCCTTCTCAGAGGGAGCTCCGCCTGGCGCTGGTGAGTTCAGGGGCGAGGGAGCAGGCGCTAGAAATGGTAGCACAGCGTGCAGGGTCGGGGGCTGTTGTCCAGGTCTCGGCCTTGGTGCAGGAGTGCTGCTACAGCGTCCGCTGCTCGAATATGCATGTGGCCAAAGTCCGATGCATTCACCGAAGACATACACACCAGCGATGCGTGAAATCCTTTGTTGGGAAATTGATTCAGACTCAGAAAAAAGTTGCAAGAAGAGTAAACAACTTCCTTGTACCCTGTTAACCTGTTAGACAGTGTTTACCATTTTGATGTGTTTGTTTATCACTGAACCTTGTATACCCCTCTGTGCATATATACATGTATACATGCATACTTACATTAGTATTTTTACATATGCCTGTTGTTAGTTCATGTCATTTTTTTCTGAACCATAAGAGGTAGTTAAAGGTCTGATGCCCCTCTTTTTTCTAAATACTTGCACACATATGAGAATACTCTAAAAAGTTTGTGGAAATGGAATCCTTAAGTGTCCTTTAGTACAGAAGTGTTTTAAGATCCATGCATTTGAGAGGGACTTAAGGAGCTCACACGGGGCAGTGTTGTGGCGCAGCAGGGTAAGCTGTGGCTTGGGGTGGCCGCGTCCCATGTGCGAGCACTGGTTCAGGTCCCGTCTGCTCCCTCCGGCTCCAGCTTGCTGCTAACGCATCCTGGACCCAGCAGACACCGCCTCCGCTGCCCGGGTTCCTGATAGCTCCTGCTTCCCGGCTTGGGCCTGGCCCAGCACTTTCTGTTGTGGCTCTTTGGAGGAGTGACCCAGCAGATGGAAGGTCTCTCTGTGTCTCTCCCTCCCTCTCTGTTAACTCTGACTTTCAAACAAATAAATAAATAAATAAACTTTTTTTTTTTTAAATTTCCTGGAAAACATGTATTATGAAAAGACTGGGTGTGGATTTTTTTGTGCTTTTGCACCACAGTCCATTTTCAACTCAATTTTCTGTGAACTTACTCAAGTCCCCTGTCGTTCTTAAGAGTGAGGACATTTCTAGCATCAGTGCAATGCAGTTTACAAATTCAGGAAGATTCATAGCACCACCAACAATATTTTTTAATAAATTTATTTATTTATTTGAAAGATTAAAGAGACAGAGACAGAGATGTCTTCCACCTGCTGATCTACTCCCAAGTGGCTGCAATGGCTGGGGCTGGGCCACGCCAAAGCCAGAATCCAGAAGCTTTTTTTCCAGGTCTCCCATGCAGGTGCAGGGGCCCAAGCACTTGGACCATCTTCCGCTGCTTTCCCAGGCCATTAGAAGGGAGCTGGATCAGAAGTGGAGCAGCCAGGACTTGAACTGGCTCCCATACGGGATGCCGGCACTGCAGGAGGTGGCTTTACCTGCTGCGCCACAGCGCCAGCCCCCGACACAGCATTTCAGTGTTTGGGTCTCTGCTCTTCCTTTTCCCGAGATGAACAACAAATCAGACTTGCAATCTCAAGGCTCTGCCGACAGCACAGCAGTTACCTGTCTTCTGAGATGCTGAGTGAAGCTTTTGTTCAAGGCACAGCCACTTCCCTGAGCGTCTGTTGTCCCCACTGTCTGCACACAGAGGCACGCATATCCCTCAGTAAAGATGCAGCCAGTGGAAAATTAAAACCCGTGAACCAGCATAACACAGCGTCTTCCGTGAGCCTCTGAGCAGACCTGAGCGCTCTCGCCGGGAGCATCTACTGAGCACTCCCAGGGGAGGGGATGGTTGGGTGAGGCCGTGTCCAGCTCTCTGCCAAGCCCAAGTCCGTGCCGTGTGGTTTTTGCAGGCCCAGGTTTTGGCCGTGATGGGTCAGACGAGAGAAGCCGAAAGGATGACCACGCACATTGTGGAAGAGGATAGCGGGTGCCTGGAATGCTACCGCCTCTTGTCGGCCATCTACAGCAAGCAGGAGCACCACGCCAAGGTGGGGACAGGGGCCCTGGTGGGCTTGATGGGGTTCTCGGGTGGGAAGTAGGAGGTACTGAAGCCACTCTCCAGTTGGCACCCTGCGAGGTCGGGATGTCGGGACGGTCATTGGGTGCCATATCCTTCTGATGGGAGCTTTTCCCAGGTAGCGTCTGCACTGCTAAGGTTCTGCCTTGTCATAGTGCACGGCTGGCCCGTGCTTGCTCCCAAGACTGTGTGGTATCCATCAGCTTGTTTTCAGCAAGCCGTGTAAACAGCGGCGTTCCTTTCTCATTTACAAGGGGTCTCCAAATCTCTCCTGGGAAATAAGTATCGTGAAATACAGGTAGGCGTGCATCTCAGGAATTGTTTGGCACAGAGTTTCTTATCCTGTAATGTGAACTTCTTGAAGCATCCTTGTATCGTCCCAAGGACTTCTCGTACCATGCCTACAAGGCTGCTCCGGGACGCAGTCGGCACCTGCTGACTGTTGGTGAGAGTCACTTGGTTTGTAGGTTCACGAACTTATCTGCCATGTGCGTCTCTGGTTGGCAGGAGGCGGGGAGTGGCCCTGTGGCAGCAGGGAGAGACCTATCTGAGGGACAGGAGGGCATTGTGATACACACCTGTGGGATGGGGCCCCGCAGGACTTGGGGCCAAGCCAAGGGTTTTCTTTATTCTCTCAGGAGAAGACACAGGGTTTTAAGAGGGGCTGATCAGATTCGTGCTTCGAGACTGTGTGTGGCTACACAGGGCAGCTGCGGGAACCCCAGAGGAGGCAGTTGGAATGGGCCAGGGAGACAGGTGCCCTGAAAGGTGTGTGGGGACCATCTCTTGTCCCCGCTCTGTAATTGGCAAGGCCGGGGCCCAGGGCTGTGGGCTTGTGAGGAGCGCTGATTGTCAGACCGCGGCAGACAGAATAGCAGGTGCCTTGATCAGCACGCGGCCCACGCGCTCATACACAAAGGGCACAGTCATTGCCTCGCTCACCTGCACCTGTGCCGTGCGGCTGTCCCCTCTCCACAGGCCCTGGACGCCATAGACAGGGCGCTGCAGCTGAAACCAAAGGACCCCCACGTCGTCTCCGAGCTGTTCTTCACCAAGGGAAACCAGCTGCGAGAGCAGAACCTTCTGGACAAAGCTTTAAAAAAAAAAAAAAAAAAAAAAAAAACAAGTATGCCATTAAGTTGCGTCAGTTGCCAGGGAGGGGACGAGCTTGGCACATGTGTGGAGTTGATGTTCCAGTGGCCTGGCTTACCGTTGGACGGTTCTGCTTCCTGTGGCTTTGGCCTCTGCGTGATCTCCCACACCACCACATCCCACCTGATGTTCAGAGCATGCGCAGTTTGGTCTGAGACTAGCTTTGCCCTCTCTCTTTGTCCCTGCCTGCCTGCAGGACCCCGTAATGGCAGCAGGGCTGGTCTGGGGAGTTTGCGCAGGTGCTGGAACCTTCCCGCTTGAGCAGCTTCTCGCTCGCCTGCTCAGTCTTTGTCCTCCTCCCCCAGGAAGCCCTCCTGACTACACTTGCTCCAAGGGCCCCTCATTCTTTGGGATTCTGGAAGCACGTGCTATCTCCCTGTGGCTGCAGTCATAGGAAGACGTCCTGTGTCATATCGCTGGGTCGCCACCCTCCCCGTCAATCCCTTCTGCTCCTTTTCCCACTCTGCAGGATCTGCCTTCCTATCTTGGGCTTTTACTCTGGTTTAAAACAGTGTCTTGCACCTTACAGTTGTTCAATATCCCCAGCTTAAAAAAAAAAAAAAAAAACTATAAGCAGTTTGAAATCATGCAGGCATGTGCAAGCATGTGTAGAAATATTACAGAAAGGCTGTATTTTATCCTTTAGCTGATAATAGCACCAACTGGAATTTACCAAGTTCTAAAATGATATTTAATTACATGTGGGAAAACTAAACTCTCAAGTGATAGAATTGTGCTGAAGAGGAAACAGGAACGAGTAATGTTGGAAAGCCCGCTTGAAGAAAGCTCACCTGAGTATTTGGAGAAACTCACTTCAGGGTAGAAGCAGACATAGTAGTTCCAACAGAAACAGACGTGGTAGCATTTGCTGTGAGAAGCCATGAGCATTTATCTCAGAACGTGTGGGCTTGTCTCTGCACGGTGAACATAGCCTCCACCTACATTCTTGTTATGTGACTTCAAAGTTATTATTAATAATCAAACCGTGAATATGATATCTGTAGCTCCCTGTATCTTAATGCCTTGTATTGACAGCATTTTCTAGTTGCTTGGCCGGGGATGAAATAATCATTGCTGGATTTAGGAAGAGCAGCAGTCGGGCCACCGGCTGTTCAGAGTCGCTGAAGTGATTTAGCGCTCCTGTGTGTGAGTGAATGAATGAAGTAGCCCGTGTGATACTCACATCACTCACTTGAGAAGGGTGTGGGCTCCGTCATCACTTTATACTTCTGTCCTCTGAGGCTCAGAGGTCGTGAATCCCGCTCAAGGTCATTCTGACCTTCAGAGACGGAGCCAGGACTTGACGGTAGCTCTTAACGTCTATACTGTTTGGCCCTCTCTGTTGATAGAGAGCAATCCAAGAAAGGCACCTTCAAGTTTATTTAAGCAGGTTTTTTTTTTTTTTTTTTTTTTTAAGTTTGGTTTCTTACCATTTGCTTCTATTCTCTAAATCTTAAAGGCAAATGGACCAGATTTTACTTGGTGGATCTGTTTGCTTATAGCCTTGCTAATCAAAGTAGCAAGGAACATTAAACTATGTGTGCTGATCCTTAGCTTTGTCACTAAAGGCAACCCTGGTAGCCCTGGACTTCATTTCTGGTGGCCGTTTTTAAAATGAAGTCTTAAGGGCGGGCATAACTTTGATGCAAAGCACCGTGTAGAATATTAAAAAGAGACCTCACGGACATCACAGTTACTAGGATACATGTTACCGAGACAGAAGATGATACCTGAGAGATGGGGAACTCTTAAACATTTGAAAGCCCTGCCTGTGACAGAAGAAGAAGAAGACTTTCTAAGGGTTGCAGTTCTCCCCCAGTAAAACATAGTGAAATAGATGTCCTGGGAGAAGAGTCGAGCAGCCTGTTCAACAAGTTAAGCGAAGGCTGAGTTTTCAGATCAGTGGGGCTGTAGGGTGTGGGGGGTGCTGTAGTGCAGTTAAGCCATTTTGAAAGCCACCTTAAGATTCTGTTATTAGAGAAATTTTTTTCTTAGCACCTGCAGAAAGCATGAATGTCTGGTAGGGCAAGGCCAGTGGAAAACGGAGCTGTGTGACAGCAGGCGCTTGGCAGCCCTGCAGGCGTTCAGAGGCTCTTCCAGTCCCCAGCTTAGCTCTGCAGGGAAGTCCTACCGTTTCAGAATCCCCACCTTTGGTAAACAACGGAGATAAACCAGGAGTGTGCCGGGAACTGGGAGCGGCTGGTTTCACTGTGATGAATATTTGCATCATCCCAGAGCAGAGAAGCAGCGTCTGCCATCCCGGGACCTCGCACTTCCTAACCTGGAGCTGTCTCTTCCTGATTTAGAGCTATAAGGCAGCCGTGGAGCTGAACCCGGAGCAGGCGCAGGCGTGGATGAACATGGGGGGCATCCAGCACATCCAGGTAGGACACCTGTTCGCCCCCCGGGGAGGGGTTCTCCTGGGGGTTCCTCCTCCTCCTTTCTCCAAGGACTGGAGGCCTGCGCTCCTCCTTGGAATCAGTTGAATGCCACAGACAGAGATGTTTAAAGGTGCGGTTAGCACAGGTTCTGGTCACCTTATGTTCTCTTGTTACTGATTATCATGAAGCATTCACGAATACTTCTAGGGGTGGGCAGTTAGCCTCCCGTGGAAGAAGCACACATCTCACATCAGATACCGGAGAGAGTCCTGGTTGCAGGTGCAGACCCGAGTTTCCTGCTAAGACAGACCCCAGGTTCCTGCCACCTGCCTGGGAGACCCAGGTCGAGTTCCAGCTCCTGACTTCAGCCCTAGCTCAGCCCTGCCCCAGCCAGTGAGGGTGTTTTGGGAGTGAACCAGACAGTGAGTTTTCTCTGCCTTGTCAGTCTCTCTCTCCCTGCCTCCTTGCCTCCCTCCCTCTCTCTCTTTCTTTCTCTCTTTTTCTGTCCCTCCTCACTGTGTGTGTGCTTCCCAAATAAATTTTTAAAATAAATAAATGAATTCCATATAAATTAGAGTCCATGATTTTATTAATCATGAACAAAATCACATGTAGTTAAGAGAATATCAGACAGAATATGTTCATGTGTACTAAATCCTTGTTGGAACTTGGAGTGGCTTATTTTTCTTGCAGTTCAACTCCCTGTCAAAACTAAAATGTCACTTCTATTACTTTAAAATGTTACCCTCCATTTAAAATTTCAGTGTGTTAGCATTTTCATTTACTTTAATTGTACCTCGGTATCCATACAAACTCTGTAGATGCCCAAGCCCGCTGTGTAAGCTGACATAGTTATTGGCATATGACCAGTGGAGTCCTCTCATAGACTTTAGATCATTTGTGGATTCCTCCTAACAGCTAATACAGTGTACATGCTATGGACGTAGTTATTACACGGTACTGTATAGACAGTATTTTGTAATGAATAATGAGAAGAAATCTCTGTCTTGCCCAGGCCATGTTCAGTTTGGTTTTGGTCTGTGCTTGGGGGACTCCATGGGTGCGGAAGCCTGCATTACTTTCTTTATTCTTTGTTCCCTAACATTTTACTGAAAAGCAAAGCATGATTGGACCTTTTTATCTAAAGAAAAAAGCTCCCTCTGGGTAAATCTGCCTGAGGATTTGCGATGGCTGTTGGTGGGACTACCCTGTATAACCAGCGCACCCGAAGACTCGGCATCCATCCTTTAATTCATTTCTCAGTCACTGATGGGGAGCACTCTGTGTGCCCGATACCCTCCGCGGCCCTGGGGCTGCAGCAGTGAGCAGACAAGACCAACATCCCTGTGCTCATGGAGCTAACGCTTGACTAGTGGGAGGCAGGTGCTAAATGTACACAGCACACATCATACATACATACGTGCATATATACATGGAACATGTCAGATGGTGGTAAGTGCTTTACAGGGAAAAAAAAAGAGTGGAAGGAAATTAGGGTACCAAGGAGTAAGGGCTAAATTTTCAATTCAGGTGGCTTGCTCCTGGCTCCTGCCTCCATCCTGACTCGTCTGCAGCCATTTGGGTCATCTGGGGAGTGAACCAGCAGATGGAAGACCTCTCTCTTTGTATCTCTCCCTCTTGTCTGTAACTCTGACTTTCAAATAAATAAATCTTTTAAAATTGATTGGCTTTTTTAGATTTTAGAGCATTTTGGATTTTAGATTAGGGTTGCTCAACTTCTAATACTCAAATTTTTTCATTTGTTCACTTGAGAGACAAAAATGTAGAGTTCTTGTCTGTTGGTTCACTCCCCAAATGCTGGGATGGGGTTAGACCAGACCCAGGGTGGAGAACCCAGTGCAGGTCTCCCATATGGGAGCCATCCCCACTGTCTCCCAGGGTGCACGTCAGCAAGGAGCAGGAGCAGAGCCAAGACTCCCGCCTAGCTGCTCCAGAATGGCGCCCAGGCCAAAGGCCTGCCCGTGGAGTACGTCTGATGAAGCTTGAGATGAGATGAGATGAGATGAGATGGGATGGGATGGGATGGGATGGGATGGGATGGGATGGGATGGGTGGTCTAAAAAGCTGTAATGCATTCTTTGTCGTCAAAGAGGTCCAATCACCAGGCCATATCACAGGGTATCATCTGCAGTTTTGTCCTCTGACAGTGATGGGCAGTTTCAACAGTCTCACTTTCTAGTAGAACTTTCTGAGATCATGGCATTTCTGTATCTGCATTAGACACTAGCTGCGTGTGAGCTCTTGAAATGTGGCTCCTGCACTGAGGAACTGAATTCTTAATGAACTCTAACAGATTTAGATTTAACTAACCATGCGTGGCTGGTGGCTCCCGTTAGCACAGTGCTGGAAACTGGATAAATCAAATAGGCTACCTAGCATGTGGGGAATTCGCAACATTGCCCTAAAGGGATAGGAGCATAACTTTTTTTAGGAAACTAAAGTTTCTGGTTTAATCAGGCAAAGAATGAATGGAGAGTGAGAAAATGAACTGAATATTCTGGGAAAGGACAGAGAAATCGTGAGATCCGGGGAAAGACGGCAGGGCAGCAAGCTGAACCCTAAATTCAGAGTCGCCCCTGCAAGAACAAGTTCAGCATCAGCTACAGCAGAGCGCCCAGCGAAAGCCCCAGGTGCACAGCTGTCGGCATGCATGTGCCAAGCTCCATCAAAGCAGGAGCCTTGGAAGATGAAGGTTTCAGTTGAAAACAAAAGAATTCAGAGTACCAAACCCAAGTTCCCCCTTGTTCAGAGAGCTGTGTAGACTGTTAGCAGAATCTGTGATAATAATAATCGGGAGGCCTTTCCTTCACTGGACATGTCAGCACCTGGGATCCGGTGTACAATTTCTTCTTCAATCATTTCCACTCCCCCTTTCACCAGTAATGTTTTGAATAGCCTGGGTGTGTCTTTGCTTTAATAGTCGGGTTAGTATTCTCTTGAGCCCTCCCTGTGTGCCAGGGAGTGTCAGAGCTGTTGACAAATGTTAACTCCTTTGGAAGAGAGTTATGCATTCAGTAAATATTAGTTGCTAATTTCTGGTTGGTACTGGTACTCCAAGAAGTAGAGATTTAATTGCCCTGGATGGTGTAATTAAGATTCAGGCAGAACAAGTTCCTATTTTTGGAAAGGGGAAAACTCTAAC